TTTAAATTCGATTGTATGAATTATTTTGGTATTAAAAAAAAACGGTTCAGCTTTGTAGAATTTTTTAAATAAGTTTTCAATGTTTGCTGTTAAGCACAAAACTATTGTAATGTCTCTGGTCGTTTGTTAATTTGTTTTGTAGAAATTCTTTCCGAAAAACTTCAGCGATACAAGTATTTTCTTAATAAAACTAGTTTATTCTTTTTCAATTCAACTCTGCAATACATTTAATTTCCACAGTCTCTTTAACTTAAACACACGTTATAATTCACAACGATTCACGCAATTTACTTACGTCACCACCGCGCTTGACTCGTTTGTCCATCTCTATCTCTCTCTATCTGCAATTCAATTCCGATTATTGTCTTGCTTTATCTGGCGCACTTATATACAAGAATAGAGGGCGCCTAGCAAATACTGAATTATTCGTGATGTTCCCCGATCCTTCTAGAATCTCATGACGTGTTACTAGAGTCATGTGACTTCCGCTGTCGTAACACTATACAATGGACCATCTATGTTGTGCCTCCGCGAGTATTGAAACCTGATTTTTAGCAGTATGATATCTCAAACTTATCGCTGAACCACTGGAGTCTTAATGTGTTTTTATAAATTATTCAAGTTATTTCTTTTAATGTTTTTTATACGTTTATATCAGCTGTTTTTTATCTTTTCTTTGTCATCTATATTTATTAATGTTTAATCACCAACTTTGTTATACTGTCATTATTATTACGGAGTTGGTAGACTTTATATGTAGGGATAGCCAAGGTACTCAGTAGGCATAATATAAATATATATAATATAAAAATCAACAATGACAGAGAGTTTTGCTTTAAAAGATGATTGCCACTCACTTTTATTTGTTTCTCTATCCAAAAATCCCCAAAACAAGGCAAGAAACCATCGCTAAGATACCAAACCAGAAAGTGACCAACCCATCAAATTGTTCATCTTTCTTGTTGTTGTTTCAGTCGATGTAACTCTACAAGTACTTTATCACTAACGTCAGTTTAAACCTAACTCCACTCTATGTGTTCCTGGGCAGTGCACGATGTCATCGCTATGTCGTAGTAATTAGTAGTAATTACAAAAAAATGATAATTCTAGTGTAAACGATGTTATCATTACCATTCAAGTTAACTTTTTACAGAAATCTGGTGTTCCTTTAAAAACCTTAAATACGGTATGAAACATGAATTACCAGCCAATAAATGATGAATAGGTGATAGTAACATGTAGAATACTCAATACTTCGTACACTATACAGTCGGTGTTTTTAGGAAACCAGCCCCTATATTATGTATTAAGTGAATGAATAAAAAGAAAATTAATACACATAATATTAACTTTTATTACACACATTCACAAAATACACTAATTTTACAAGGGGAAATACGTCACAAAATAATTAATAAGAAACATTTTGTAAATGTAAAATGATGTAGGGATGGAAGTGCCAAAAATAATGCAAACAAGAATATAGGGATGATACAGCGATACATATATAATCCCTACATGACTTTCAATATTAAAATATAATTTACATTGTAAAATGCATGAATACAAAATGGTCTCTTGTAGATTATCTCGTAATAATAGTATGTTATTAAAAGTACAGCCCGCCTTTGGAGCCTTAGAGATGCAAGAGTTGGGATTTCAGTTTTAGGTCCGAATATTTTCGTCAAAGGTTGATGGTCTAACACAAGTGTGAACTTCTTAACGCCATAGATGTAGCCTATAGCTTCTCCTTCTGTTTTCTTCTGCGTTTTACTTCGAACGGTGACGCATCACATGCCAACAGCAACTCATTTTTGGCAACATAGTGGGTCAGAACATTGCCACTTGTTATCACTTCTATTACATCATTAAATGCCTTTTTACAATCTTCTGTCTGTCTCCATGGAACTTCATCACGTAGCAAGTTGTTGGGAGATTTTGTACAAATCCTGAATAATAATTTGTCATTGCTAGGAATGTGTGCAGTTCTAATACATCTTTTAGTTCTTTAGCGTCTGCAAACACTTTTATTTTCTCAGGCGTCCATTCTTGTCAATAACAAGGCCTAAATAATGGGGGCCATAAAGAAACAGTTCTCTTTCTTTGCACGAATATTATACATCTCTAACCTCTGCAATACCATTTCAACACGTCGAAGATGTTCTTCTTCACTCGAAGTTGTTGTTCCAATACCATCAATAAAACAACACGCGCCTTGGATTCCCTGTAGAACCCGATCCTTGATAAATTAGGAAATATGTGGTGGTGTCTTTATTCCGTATGGTAATCTGTTAACTTCGTAACGTCTCTTGAGTGTTTATGGTGTTATATTTTTTGGATTTCTCTTCTACCTTCACTTGAGCATATGCATTTGACAACTTTAGATTGTAGCAAATATGTCTTCAGCCGTGAGAGGAGGGAAGGGTTGGTCTACTACTTCATTATTTATGGACACTTTATAGTCACCATATAATCGAAGTTTGCCCTCTTCTTTGGGTACTACAACAATCAGAAATGACCAATTACTTCCTTTTATTTTGATTATCACTCCATTTTCTTCCAACGTCTCTAATTCCATTTTCACTCCATCTGTAAATGCATACGGTACAGATCTGGCCTTACGGAACTCCGGGATTGCATTCTTTTTCAGCTAAATTCTGGCTTCAAAGTCCTTCATTTCGCCTGTCTCTCCTTGAAACACGAAATGATACCTTTGTAGCACTTCCCGAAATGTGTTCTCTCCAGCTGAGAATATACTTTTCTACTACGGGCGGATTTAACTCATTCAGTTGCGTCCAAAAATGCTGTTTTCTGACCTCTAGCAATTGCCAGTGGCAGTACATTCTCTTCGTTTCCATATCTGACATTAACTTCAATTTGTCAAAGAAGATCAACTTTGTGGTTGTATGATTTTAGATTTATGCTAGGCTCATCTAATGACAAATGCTGGACATATATGTGAAAAACATCGTCTGCTACAATGGAAACAGCTGACGCAGTATCACTAGTGAATGCTACATTATGCTTATTAACTTGTGCATCAACTTTGACCTCACCAGTGGCTCTTTCTTTTTGTTTTGCTTCATAGGGAGACGCATAACTCACTCTTTCTTCTGGTTTTCCTTTATCAACATAATTTGTGTGACCTTTTCCACGACCTCTGCTTCGACCTTGGCCTCTCTTTGGTTTTCAGCTTCCTCTGGTTGACCCATGACCTTGCCCTCTTGACTGGCTTTCACCTTATTTATTTTTACAAGCCTTAACAATATGTCCTATCTTCTCATATTTGAAGTATTTTTCATGTATTTAGGGCCACTGACCTGCACGACTGCCATCACATCTGTAACAATTCTTCCTTGAGTTCTGGAACCTTGGTTTCCTCTAAAATTAAATTTTCGCTGTCCCCCGCGTTGCAGTCGATTCACTTTTTGGATTGAACAGTTGTTTTACTATTTTGATAGAATACATCTATGGAAGTGCTTATTTCAACTTCTCTGCCCCAGATTAAGTCTGCTACTTCGCTTACAAGCCGTTTCTTGATTGCGTCCGAGCGCACACCCGCAACGAGTAAATTTCTTAAAAGTTTTTTACTTGGACTGCATCTCCAAAACCACTGTGAATACTTAATTCTTTTAATGCCACAATATAGTCAGCAACAGATTCACTTTCATTTTGTACCCTAGTGTGAAAGGATTATCTCTCTGCTAACTCATTGGTTCCAGACCTGTAATAATCTTCAAGCAGCGTTGAATATTGGGCATAGTTTTGTCATCGAGATTGCCAGGAGCACACAGGACAACCAGCAATTCAACTACTTCTGGGCCCACAATAGCCAGGAATGCGTCTTTTTTTTACCATCTAGGATTTTATTTATTTTCATCCAGGCATACAGCCTTTTATAATTAGCCCACTGTTACTTCTCAGACTGAAATTCACTTATGGTACTGACAATATTCCTTGCCTGAGCCATGATGAGGAGAAATTATCAGAATGTCAACAAAATGTTCATACACTTAGCAATCACACCTATAGGTATATGCTTGACTGGCAATGATATCCATAAGCTAGATTCTCAAACTCCTCAAATTTAATTCTAACGCATTTCCTTTTTCTTTTTTTTTTAGTGTAAATTTCGGATTCCATCTGCGTCTCCATCTTTGTTGTATATCAGTCTTTTATTGGTAGAGACATCTTTAGTAAAATACAGTGAACTACAAAAACAGATGCTGCCATCACGTGGATTATGCATATACTACATTCTTCCTTTTAAATCTAACTTTTATTTTCTAGCCAGATATCCTGTGATGGTTTAACGCTAAGTTTGCAGTTTTACCTTGCTAAAAATCCTGGGTTCGGTTCTCCAAGGTGAACAAAGCTCAGGTAGTTCATTGTATAACTTTGCGTTGACTCGAACAAACCTAACTAAATAGCATTATCAGGTTAACTCTTGCCACCCAGGCTTCACTCTTTTAATACTAATAACATCCAGACACTGCTTCGCATCTTCACAACACAAGCATCTTTCTTCCCAGAACAAGAAAACCATTTTCAATTTTTTGTATCATAGTGCATAACTTGACACTTCTCAATATTAAAACACACTGTCTTTTTTCTTGAACAGTCGTTACGTTAATTGAAGCCCCCCCCCCCAGTGGCACAGCGGCACGTCTGCGGACTTACAACGCTAGAAACCGGGTTTCGATACGTGTGGTGTGCAGAGCACAGATAGCCCATTATGTAGCTTTGTGCTTAACTTCAAACAAACAAACGCTAATTGAAATCTTGCAAAATAAAACAACAATCCTCTCACTTTCGGATTTCCTCAGCAAATTGAGATAAGAAACATTAATGTTTTGATTTTACAAGTAAAAACCTAATCAACTGAGTAGGATAATGTCAAGAAGGAAGTGTAATTAATATTATGCTTTTTTATTCCGTTAAGAGCAATATATATATATATATATATGGTAACCATAAAAATCAGCTGATAATAATTTAGATGTACATTTAGAGGACGCTAAAGTTGCTATGGAGGACAGTAAATCTGACAAGTTTTCAATTTTGCTTCCAACATATAATGAAAAAGAGAATTTACCTATAATTGTGTGGCTTATTTCAAAATATATGGATGAATGGTAAGTGGTGAAATTGCAGTTTAGCCGTCTATTTTTGGGTATAAAATCACAATTTAACCACTAAAGATGATATAATTATATATTGCTCCTACTACTGTTTGTGCTAGTAAGTGTAATTACTAATCGTAGTATTCATACCCCATTGAAAAATTTAGCAAAAAACTGAACATTTTCTAAAAAAGGAATTTTTTACTGGGAAGTACTGCATGGGAAAAGTGTTTGGATTGTGTTCTTTAGTCATACTCAACTCATTGCAGCAAAATGATTCAATGTACAGAGCTAAAAATTTTCATAAATTTTACTGTTATAAACTATAAATGTTTTGATATATTAAAAGTGCTACCCTTTATTGAAAAAAATAATAGTTTTGAAGAACTTCAGATTTGCAGTACCACATTTTAAAAATTACATCAATAAAGATGTAATCAAACCCTCACGTACAGCCCTTATGAAAGTCGTGTTCTTGTTGTGAGGTGAGTACTTTTATTTAAAGTTGTGTTCTATTATAAAGAAATAGTTTTTGTACATACCACAGTTATTGTTCTAATTGTCTGAGCCCCATCCCACCAAACATGCTTGCCCTTTCAGCCATGGGAGTGTTATAATGTGACGATCAATCCCACTATTCATGGGTAAAAGAGTAGACCAAGAGTTGGCAGTGGGTGGTGATGACTAGCTGCCTTCCCTCTAGTCTTACACTGCTAAATTAGGGATGGTTAGTGTAGACAGCCCTCATGTAGCTTTGCATGAAATTCAAAACAAACAAACAAATAAACTAATTATCTTAATCTTGGATACCCAAAGTGTGAATTTTTTGTGGATTATTGGTTGTGGTGCCATTCAGTAGATAGTGAATGAGTTTTGGTTGCATACATAGATATTGACATACATGCTACGTCCATTATAGTAAGATAATTTAACATAACATAATATTTTGGGAGAACATGGGACCTATTGGTCCATCACAGCTGTCCCATCCTCAAAACTAAATTAAAATGATCAAAAAATAATAATAATAATAAAATTTTAAACCCAACCCTTTTC